CCTAAACCCTAAACCCGCAACCCTATTTTGGGGAGCCGGGTTCCTTCACCCGTTCCTTCAAGGGCCTCATATTTCAGAGGTGTTTGATATTATAAGGTTAGGTAACTTTTGAGCATTGCACACCTGACGAACACCCCAAAGCCTAAACCCCGAACCCCTAAACCCTACAGCCCGAAACCCTAAACCCCTAAACCCCAAGCCACTAAACCCCTAAAGCCCTAAGCCCTCAAACCTAAAGCCAACACCCCAAATCCTAAACCTAAACCGCTTAACCCTAAACCCTAAACCCTAAACCCTGCTGCCAGGACCTCCTGGCGATCGCAGAAGGCTTGACCGTAGGCCACACAGTGCTCGCATGACTCCTTGCCTCAGTGAGTTTGGGGTTCCTTACCTCAGCACTTTAAGGGTTCCTTTTTAAAGGGTTTCGGGTTCTTTAAGGATTCCTTTAAGGGGTTAGGTAGGGCACTTAAGGGTTCTTGTTCAGGGTTTCAGGGTTGAGGGTTGAGGGGTTTAGGGCTTAGGGTTTGTAAAGGTTCTTTTCAAAGGGCTCCTTATGGCTCTTAGCACTATGAACCCTGAAAGGGCTCCGTTTAGGGTTCCTGTAAGGGTTGTATGGCTTCTACAGGGTTTAAGGTGCCGGGCGTAAGGACGAAATCAACCCTAGTGGGCTTAAAGTTCATGCACCATTTCGGGCTTTCTAGTACGAGGGCCCATGGGCCCCTGCTTATAAGGGTCATTTAGGGTTTAGGGTTTAGGGTTTAGGGTTGTCATTTGGCCCCCAAGCCTTGGGATGTAGGATATTTGGTTTACGGCTCGGGGTTTGGGGTTTAGGGTGTGGGTTTGGGGTGTAGTATGTCACCTAATTGTGGTAAAGTCGGGGCCGTAATATTATTTAGCATATGTTTTGGGGGGTTCCTGAGTAGAATTCTAAGAGTATACTATACCCCAAACCCTATTCTAATGTTTGAGGCCCCTTTCTTACTAGGAGTTTGAGGCTTAGGGCTGAGGTCTTTCAGGATGTTGGAAACTTTTCCTTCAGCGATTCAGGGTTCGGGTGCTTAATGTCAGGGTTTAGGGTTTAGGGGTTTGGAAGTTTAGGGTTTTAGGGCTTAGGGGCTGGGGGTTTAGGGGTTTCGGGTTTAGGGTGTCCGGGAGCTACGCAGAGCTAAATTCCATCGCGAAGCCTGGGAATCCAAAATCCCGAGATCCACGACCATAAGCCATGGGGACATGAACAACCCTAACCCTAAACCCCGAACCCTAAACCCTAAACCCTAGGCCCTAAACCCTAAGCCCTAAGCCCTAAGCCCTAAACCCTAAACCCTAAGCCCTAAACCCAAAGGCCTAAAGCCTAAACCCGAAGACCGAAACCCATCCCGGTACAGGGATTAAGGCTGAAGGTCTGCAGTAGGTGGAAGCAATCAGGTCCTTCCGGAGAAGAACCCATGAACTTTCAGCCATACTTCATCGCCCTAAACCCTAAACTCTAAAGCCCTAAAGCCCTAAAGCCCTAAAGCCCTAAACCCTAAACCCTTAACCCCTAAACCCCTAAACCCTAAATTCCCCTAAACCCCTAAACCCTTAAACCCCTTAACCCTAAACTACTGCTAAACCCTAAAGCCTCAACCCCTTAACCCCAAAGTACTAAACCCCTAAACCCTAAACCCTAAACCCTAAACCCTAAACTCTAAACACTAAACCCTAAAGCCTAAACCCTAAACCCTAAACCCTAAACCCCAAAGTACTAAACCCTAAAGCCTCCTGATCTTAGTTTTCAGGCCGGGGTTCCTGGTCGAGGGTCCTACCGATCACAAACCCCAATTAGGGTTTAGGGTTTAGGGTTTAGGGTTTAGGGTTTAGGGTTTCTTTAAAGGGATCCTCAAAGGGTTCTATAAAGGATCTATCTATATTAGGGACCTTTATTCTAGGATCCTGGGTAGGATTGGAATTCTGAGTCCCTGAATTAAAGGAAACTACAGGTGGGGAGTTTGGGGTTCCTAAAGGGTTTAGGGTTTAGGGTTTAGGATTCAGGGGATTCAGGGGTTAAAGGAAACTACAGGTGGGGAGTTTACGAGTTTTTGTAGGGCTTCTATACGGCGTCTATAAGGTATATAGACCTTCTAGAAGGCTCCTATAACGGTAACTCCCCACCTGAAAATGTCCTAGAATAAGCCCAAACCCTCGGCCCTCAACCGCAACAAACCCCCTTCTTCCTAAACCCTAAACCCTGAACACAAAACCCTAAACCCTGAACACAAAACCCTAAACCCTGAAACCCTAAACCCTGAACCCTTATCCCTAAACCCTAAACCGTCGAAGCCCCAAACCCCAAAGACCTGCCCTTGCCACCAATACAAACCTGCTGGCTAAAAAAAATCACCCTAGTGCACGAAAGGTCCATGTAATAGGGTTTAGGGTTTAGGGGTTCAGGGTTTAGGGGTTTAGGGCTCAGGGCTTAGGGCTTAGAGGTCTAGGGTTTAGGGGTTAGGGTTTAGGGGTGTAGGGTTTTGCGTTTAGGGTTTAAGGGTTTAGGGTTTATGGTTTAGGCCGTAATGACATAGTTCGTATATGCAAATGTAGTCTTCGTTTAAAGCCAAGGTCTATACGATGTGGGTCCATGGACCCTTTGGCTTAATCACAAAAAGGTACTTGTGAAGAAAGACTAGAAACCTCAAGGGCCAGCCTAACTCGTAAAAACCCTTTGTTTAGGGTATACCCACTGTCAAGTAGAACGCCCTAGTGCTTTTTGCTTCATTTTGCCTGTCCTGTGGTGCAGCTGTCTCGCTTTCTAACAATACTCCCTAAGCTCTACTCCTTAAGCCAGTCATTTAATTCAAGCCCAAGGCAGGCCCTGCCCCCCCTGCAAACGTGCTGAGATCGTCGTTCAGAAGACGAACCTTCAACAAGTCCTCGACCGAGTAAAGCGATCCCACCTCTTCGTTTGTCTTGAAGTATTGATCGAAGAGGTACAGCACCTGCCTTCCGCGCACTGCCCGATGATTTGATGCTTCGGTCTCCTTGAAGATTAGCACTTCCCTGGCAAGCTCTCCTCGCGCTATCTTTGTTAGCGCAGCCAAAAGCTTTGTGTCAAGGGTTAAGAACTTACCGGGATCACGGAGAGTCTGATGATTGGCATCTTGGTCGTATGCCCTCATGACCCATGCAAACGCTTCGTCTGGGGAGTCTGAGGCGGCTCTCACAGCCTCCCGTGTTGCTGTTTTCCATGACCGATATGTCTCAGGATTCCCCTCAGACCCCACAGCGCCCACCGGAACCCCTTCCTCCCTCCTCCCTTCTCCCACCCCGTGCCCCTCTGAGAAAACCTTATGCCCTAACTCCCTGCAACCTGAAGCCCGATCCCTGAAAAACAAAAAGCCCCAAACCCCAAACCCTTATAGTGGCCCTGATAGAACCCTTTAGAGGAGCCCCAAAACCCTAGTCTAGTTATCCTACAGACTCCACAAGCCCTTTATTATTAAGGATACCTTAAATTATGATAGGATCCCCAGTGTGATTTAAGATATAGTCCTTAAACTGAGGGGTTTTGGAGTCTCTGGGTAATAAATAGTTAGACTAGGGTTTGGGGTATGTTATACTATCATGAGGAACCCGAAAACCCTATTCTAACTATTAAGGCCTCTACATAATTACGGCTCTGTAGCAAAAACCAAGGGGCGCCGCAACCATAAACCCTAAACCCTAAACAAACCAAGGGGCGCCGCAGGTAGCTGGTCATGCTCGACGCGTCCGCCGTGGAGCCGCGGATTCGCGCCTCTGCAGCCGTCGAAAACCCATTTCATGGGTCCAAAGGACCCAAATGGGAGTTTCCGAAAATAAGGGGTCCCTTATTTGGGGGTCCTTATAATAAGGATCCTACTTTTTAGTGTACTATATTAGGGTACCTTATTTTNNTATTTTCGGAAACCCCCAAATGGGTTTGGGGCTTATGGTTTAGGTAGGCTAAGGCTTGGGAGAGTATATGGCTATTACAAGTAGGTACTTGGCCCCTTAAGGGAAAGGCTGAGGAGGCGTCGGGCGTTACCTTAAGGAGGAAAGCAGCCCAAAAAGGGTTCCCCTTAGTGTTCCTCCAACTTTTCCTACAAGGGTTATCATGGGTTCTATCGGGATTCTGGTGTGGGGTTTTGGGACGAAAGAACATCGAAAAGGGTTTAAGGTACATATACCAAAAATGGATTCATCTAAATAGAAGAAGGACAGGGATGCTGCCACGAGCTGTGCAGGGCCTTATATATGATTGTATGAGGCTTATAGCATGATAGTGTGCTTTCACAATATTGGTGTTTACAGCGCCTTTAAGCCGGGGTTCGTGTGACTTTGGTTGTTGCAGGTCTCTATATTCGTGTATGAGGTTTCTCATTTGAGATTTGAGACCAGCTTTAAGCATCCGTAACATGAAAGTGTTACCTGCCAGGGTTTAGGGTTTAGGGTTTAGGGTTTGGGGTTTAGGGTTTAGGGTTGTTCCAGTTTAATTGCAAACTCGCGCATTAGCTAGGAAGCATACGTCAAATCCGGATTACAAGTACGG